CACACACACACACACACACACACACACACACACCCCACACCCCCCACACACACACACACCCCTCACCCCCCATATTACAAAAATGCCCTCTAGAGGGCAGTATCACTTTCATTGAGATCCACTAGTCAGTATCATCAGGGGAACACTTACTCTGATGTTTGAAGAACTTCTAGGAGTTAGCCTAGTATGTACTTTGTTGAATGAATGAAAGAAGCCTGATTTTTCATTCCAATTCACTTTTATTTCTTGAGAAATTGTTGTGGTATCTAAATTTGAGCTACCTTTACCACAATGTGAAGTAGGGTTGTCTATATTAAGCCAGCAAGCAAGACAGAAACCACCAGAAGGCTACCTAGTGCCTTAGAATGGCAAATATTTGATAAATGGCTCCACGAGCCATTGTGTCTTGTTCACCTAAACATTCAGAGTCAAAATCATTACGCGAGATGGCATTAGGTGTATACACTCTCTACTGACTATGAAATTAACACATTCATGCCTTTGCTGGCTGGCCTGTTTACTTTGAAATGTATATGGGTTTCTATACTTTAGTATTAATTACCAGTTTGTTCTCTCTTTCTGATGATTTTACAACAGGATATTGAAGAGACGATGAACACTGCTTTGAATGAACTCCGAGAACTGGAGAGGCAGAGTACGGCAAAGCACGCCCCCGACGTGGTTCTGGATACCTTAGAACAAGTGAAAAACTCGCCCACGCCAGCCACTTCCACCGAATCTCTCAGCCCTTTGCACAACGTTGCCCTCCGGAGCTCAGAGCCTCAGATTCGACGAAGCACTAGCTCTTCCAGTGACACAATGAGTACTTTTAAGCCGATGGTGGCGCCCAGAATGGGTGTGCAGCTGAAGCCTCCAGCCCTGCGGCCGAAACCTGCTGTTCTTCCAAAAACAAACCCTACCATAGGACCTGCACCTCCCTCCCAGGGTCCGACAGACAAGTCTTGCACGATGTAAAAACCAGCTGAGCAAGGTCCCACGGGGAGGTGATTTAAAAAAGAAAACGGATTCGTGACAACAGTCGGCAGTCCATAACTTTCCTTTAGTGTTGTGCTTATAACTGGAACTCTTCTGGCTTTTCTATGTTCTCGAATGTAATGTCTAAAACTAGCTAAAGTAACATGGGCATTTGTATTTTGTAATTTCTTTTTTTTTTTTTAATAACTGGACATATCTTCTGTCATTTTAAAGACAATAGAAACACTTAGACTTACTTGAAAATTCAATGCTGCACCGTTTGTAATGAAGGCAACGCCACACTGCTCTCCGTATTACGCAGTGAGTGCTTCAGGTTTGGTGTAGCCTGGCCGAGTCCGAAATGTCTGGATCCGAAGGCTCAAGAACCTGAGCTCCAGTTGGTCTGTGGCAGTTGGGGTAGTGGCGGAAAGGAGAATGGCATTGTTTAGTAGCTGACAGTGAGCACCTCTGATTCCATGCAGTTGTCACAGTGGGACATTCCCAGTGGGCCCTTCAGCCATAGCCTGAAGGAGTTGGGTGATGGCCTCTTTCATAACAAGTCATTTCCCTGGGTCCAGGCTGATGACTCAGCGGAAGGGGGTAGAACCTGTGCAGTTATTGCCTGAACTGAACCTGGGAAAGGAGAGAGAGAGGCAGTCCTCCAGAGCTATCGATGTGACTCCTTCCACAAGCCCGATCAGGCTCCAGGAGACTTTCTGGTTACGTTACTCCACTAATGCCTTCTGGGATCTGTTGTTCAGTAACTGCCTGACAATATTTCCAGCTCCCCCAAATCTCTGTGCCCTCCTCTGTGGGAATGGAGAAGGCAAGCAGCACACAAGCCCTTGGTTTACTCAGCCTTCTCTTCTCCTGACTAAATGACCTTGGTTTCTTTAAACACACTACAGAGGCCTGATGATCCTAAATTGAATCTCCAGCTTTCGTCTCCGTTGGTCTCCTTGAGCCAACCTGGAGCTGGCTATGGTACTGGAGGGAGAGCCGTGCCGGCCACGGTGGGAGGATTACCTCGTGGTGCCAGGGTCATTTCCTCCCAACTTTGCACCCTGGAGCCATGACTTTTTTTTTTTTCTTTTCTTTTCTTGCCTTTTTTCATGTGGTCTCTACATAACTCACATAGTCATCTGAGTTCCACTAGGGTCCCTCTTTCTCTGACATCCTAGCACATAGACAACTTTAGCCCATATTTATGCTGTTTCCCTCTGTCTTAAAAAGGTCACTTTGAATTCAGTTTCTTTTACTAAGGTACAAATCACCATTCTCCCACCAGCAGCAGCTTATATCATCTGTAAACCTGTGAGCATTTTATCTACTCTCTCATTGAACTTACGGATGAAGAGACTTTTTTTTTTCCTTTAAAGATAATAGCTGTCCAGAACTAACCCCTCTGGACCACCACTGATTTCCTTCTAGGTGTGGTTTCAAACTGGTAGCTGATTGCAAGCCCACCTAAGAATTCCATAGTCTGGACTTGACCAGCCCATTGGTAAACGCATCATGTAGGAAAGAATGAGGATCTCTACTAAAAGCAAGATCATGACTTTGATCTCTACCTCAGTTTGCCAGTCTAATCATGCTAATGCAAACAGAGATTAAATTAATGAGATACTATCACACTACTGGTTGCTTGCCTACAGCCTAATTACACAAATGTGAAATTGGTTTCCAAGTATTTCCAGGTATAGGCTTTTAAAGTGCTTCATTTTCAGAACCATCCATACTGTTTGCCCACTTGGAAAAAGAGGCCCAGCTCAGCATCTTGACCCTTCACCGTTTTCCTTGAGCTTTAGCAGTCCTTCAGCACCTTGGACACATGGAGACAGCCAGGAATGAGCACTGAATAGCACTGACGCTTTTTAAACAATCTCCCCAAATTCCCTAGGAAATTTAAACTTTCCTAAATTATCTCCCAGTTCTTCCTGGATTCCACTTTGGTTCCTAATTTTCTGTCGCCAGATGGCGAAACAGAAGCAAAGAACAAAGGTGGAAGTAATAGAGCAGCGNTGGAGGGCAGTGTCACTGGCCCTCATATGTGGGATCCGAACCGGGGCCCTCTGGCATCCCAAGCGAGTTCTTAACCATCGCGCCACTCGGCCGGCCCAAGATGCATTATTTTTAATAAAAAGCGCCCAAGGAAACCTGCCTTGATATTTCCAATCTATGTCCTTAACTAAAAAGAATTTTGGATAGCAAATTAGGTTGTGTGGGGAGTTTAATGTGGTTTTTTAAAAATAAAGCAATTTTAAGTGCACAACAATTTTTCAGCAAAAATCAAAAAGACTTTTGACCTTTTTGGCTTTCTCTGAAGTTCTGTGCAGGGCCCTTTGAGGCCTGCTTAGAACCAGTGGTATTTGACTACAACTGAATAATGATTTGAGAAATCCATAATATCACTTATAGGATTTAGGTTAGACAGACGGGGAATTTAGGAGCTTGGGGGTGGGAAGTCGGAATAAGGTCTGTTTAACCCTTTGGCTTCTAGAACCAGGAAATCCTTTCATTGTAAATCAGGAAAACAAAAACTCAAAAGATAAACAAAGCTCTGTACATTCTCCCTGGGGCAAATGCTTGTTATAAAAAACATCCATATGCTTAGCATCAAATGGAAGTCACATATGAAAATGATCACTTGAAAAGTGATGTCATCCTCACGAAATGGCTTCCAGCTGTGTCCTTTATTTATCTTTCCATCTCTCATCTTCAGAGTTTCTCATGAGATCAAGTAAGCCTGCCATCATGGCGTTTATACAAAAACATGCAAACTCTTTTTAGTCAACAAATCAATGGAACCCCTAATGGAGCTTTTTTTAAAAAAACTACAGTATCCATATGTGATCATCATGTCTTGGTTGATTCATTTAGCAAACCTTTATTGAGCACTTACTATATGTCAGGCCCCATGCTAGGCGTTACAAATGCAGAGTTAAATCAATAGCCAGCCACTGCCTGAAGGTGCTTACAATCCAGGGAGGAAGATGAATATGGAAGTCACTTACCATTGTACGTTTCCATAAGGGCTGTGCTCCAGCTGAGGGAAAGAAGGGCTTTCGAGCAGACCAGGGTGGTGGTTCTCCACCCACCCTGTCTCACACAATACTCCACCTTTTCTGTATGTGTGTGTGTGTGTGTGTGTGTGTGTGTGTGTGTGTGTGTGTTAAAAAACAAAGTAAAATTTACCATCTTAATCGTATTTTTTTCTTTTTTAAGATTTTTATTGGGGAATTGGGGGGATGGGAACAATGCTGGGGAATTAGGGGAAGGGGAACAGACAAGTTGCTGTCGTTTTGTTCTTCAGTCTAGTTGTGGAGGGCATTGCTTCACTGGCCCAAG